TTTTTAGTCCATTTTGGGTATTTTTTTAGAGGATTTTGGGTCCTTTTTTGGGTTTTTTTTATGTGTTTTGGGAATTTTGGTCAGTTTTGGGTCAATTTTGGGTCATTTTGGGGCATTTTTGGTGAATTTTGGGTCATTTTTTAGTGGATTTTGGGTAATTTTTTAGAGGATTTGGGTCAATTTTTAGTGGATTTTGGGTCAATTTTGGGTCATTTTTGGTGGATTTTTGGATCATTTTTAGTTCACTTTTTTAGAGGATTTTGGGTAATTTCGGTGAATTTTTGGTCAATTTTAGTGAATTTTGTGTCTTTTTTTAGGTTTTTTTTTTAGTGGATTTTGGGTCAATTATAGAGAATTTTGGGTCATTTTTTAGAGGATTTTGGGTCAATTTTGGTGGATTTTTGGCAATTTTTTTGGGTATATTTGGTCAATTTTGGGTCATTTTTTACAGGATTTTGGTCAATTTTTAGTGAATTTTGGGTCAATTTTGGGTCATTTTGGGTCATTTTTGGTGAATTTTGGGTCATTTTTAGGTCATTTTTTAGTGAATTTTGGGTCATTTTTTAGAGGATTTTGGTCAATTTTTATTGGATTTTTGGTCAATTTTGGGTCATTTTTGGTGGATTTTGGGTCATTTTTGGTGGATTTTGGGAATTTTGGTCATTTTTAGGTTATTTTTTAGTGGATTTTGGGTCATTTTTAGAGGATTTTGGGTCATTTTTGGTGAATTTTGGGTCAATTTTGGATCATTTTTTGGTGAATTTTGAGAGGATTTTGGGTCAATTTTAGAGGATTTTGGGTCATTTTTGGGTCATTTTGGGGTTTTTTTTGGCATTTTTAAAGGATTTTGGGTCATTTTTGTGGGTTTTGGGGAATTTTGGTCATTTTGGGTCATTTTTTGGTAATTTTTTAAAGGATTTTGGGTCATTTTTGTGGGTTTTTTTGATTTTTGGTCATTTTTGGGTCATTTTGGGTGGATTTTGGGTCATTTTTTAGAGGATTTTGGTCAATTTTTAGTGGATTTGGGGTCAATTTTGGTATTTTTTGGGTCATTTTGGGCCATTTTTAGGTTTTTTTTTAAGGATTTTGGGTCATTTTGGGGACATTTTTGGTAGATTTTGGGTCATTTTTGTGGATTTTGGAAATTTTGGTCATTTTGGGTCATTTTTTGGTAATTTGTTAAGGATTTTGGGTCATTTTTGTGGATTTTGGAAATTTTGGTAATTTTTGGGTAATTTTGAGTCAATTTTCGCTCATTTTGGGTCATTTTGGGTCTATTTAAGGTCATTTTGAGTGGATTTTTTTCATTTTTAGTGGATTTTGAGTAATTTTTAGTGGATTTTGGCTCATTTTTGGTGGATTTTCTTCATTTTTTTTTTAATTTTCCCCCATCTTCCTTCATCCCCCACAGATCCCCGGGAGATTTTGGGTGGATTTTGGCAGATTTTGGTAAATTTTGGGTTTTTTTTTCAGGCTCGCGGCCACCTGCCACTCGCGGCTGCTGCGCCGGGAGTACCTCGGGGTGGACGTGCCCCGCACCAGGTGGGACCCAAAAACCCCCAAATTCACCCCAAAAAATTCCAAATTCACCCCAAAACCCAAAATCCCCAAATTCACCCCAAAAAAACATCAAAAAATCCCAATTTCACCCCAAAATCTCCTTAAAATACCTTAAAAAAATCCAAATTTCACCACAAAAAAACCCAAATTGACCCCAAAAACTCAAAAAAAATCCCAATTTCACCCCAAAATCCCCTTAAAATACCCCAAAAATCCAAATTTCACCACAAAAAACCCCCAAATTCACCCCAAAAAATTGAAAATTCACCTCAAAACCCAAAATCCCCAAATTCACCCCAAAAACCCATCAAAAATTCCCAATTTCTCCCCAAAATCCCCTTAAAATACCCCAAAAAATCCAAATTTCACCCCAGAAAACCTCCAGATTCACATCAAAAAATTCAAAATTCACCCCAAAACCCCAAAATCCCCAAATTTACCCCAAAAACTCAAAAAAACCCCCAATTTCACCCCAAAATCACGTTAAAATACCCCAAAAATCCAAATTTCACCCCAGAAAACCTCCAAATTCACACAAAAAAATTAAAAATTTATCTTAAAACCCCCAAATTCACCCCAAAATCCCCAAATTCACCCCCAAAATGCTGTCAAAAATCCCAATTTCACCCCCCCAAAAAAAAATCCCCAAATTCACCTCAAAAATCCCAATTTCACCCAAAAAACCTCAAATTAACCCCAAAACCCCCTAAATTCATCCCCAAAAAACCCTAAAAATGCAAAATTTACCCCAAAATCTTATTTAAAAAAATCCAAAAATTTAAATTTCACCCCAAAATCCCCTTAAAGAAGCCAAAAATGCCAAAATTTCCCCAAAACCCCAAAATTCCCAAGTTTACCCCAAAATTCCCCGAAAAAAACCCAAAAATCCCAAATTCACCCCAAAAAGCCACAAAAATCCCCAAATTCACCCCAAAAACCCCAAAAAAATTCGAATTTCACCCAAAAACTCCTACAAAAATCCCAAAAATCCCAATTCACCTCAAAATCCCCAAATTCACCCCAAAAACCCATCAAAAAAATCCCAATTTCACCCCAAAATCCCCCTAAAATACCTCAAAAAATCCAAATTTCACCCCAAAAAACGCCAAAATCTCCAAATTTCCTCAAAAAAAAGCAAAAAACCCAAATTTTACCCCAAAAAAACCCCAAATTTCACCACAAAATCCCCTCAAAAAATCAAAATTCCACAAATTCCCCCTAAAAATCCAAATTTCACCCCCAAAACCCCCAAAAATCCACAATTTCACCCCAAAAGTCCCAAAACTCCAAATTTCACCCCCAAACCCCCTAAAAATTCCAAATTCTCCCTAAAAATCCCCTCCAAAAATCCCCAAAAATCCCCAAAAAATCCAAATTACCCTTCAAAAAACCCCCAAATTCACCCAAAAAACCCCAAAAATCCCAAAATTCCCTCAGAAAAAAACCCCAAAAATTCAAATTTCCCCCAAAATCCCCTCCAAAAAAAAAATCCCTGTTTTACCCCAAAATCCCCCCAAAAAACCCCAAAAATCCCCAAATTCATCCCAAAATCCCCAAATTCACCCCAAAACCCCCAAATTCACCTCAAAATCCCCCCAAAAAAACCCAAAAAACCCAAAAAAACCCCAAAAAAAATCCAAATTTCACCCCAAAAAAACCCCAAAATCCCAAATTTCCTCAAAAAACCACAAAAAACCCAAATTTTCCCCCCAAAAAACCCCAAATCCCCTAATTTTACCCCAAAATCTCCTCAAAAAAATCAAAATTCCACAAATTTCTCCCTAAAAATCCCAATTTCACCCCCAAAACCCCCAAAAATCCACAATTTCACCCCAAAAATCCCCAATTTCACCCCAAAAATCCCGAAACTCCAATTTCACCCCCAAAAGCCCCCAAAATTTAAAATTCTCCCCAAAATCCCCTCCAAAAACCCCCAAAAATCCCCAAAAAATCCAAATTACTCTTCAAAAAACCCCAAATTCACCCAAAAAAAACCCCAAAATCCCAAAATTCCCTCAGAAAAAAACCCAAAAA